GACGAGAAGTTAGCACAGAGCTTTGAAGTCCACAATAGCAGTACAACCCTCTGGAGGTACTAGAAATCATCGAGTCCATCATTCCTGAATGGTTAAAAAAACATGCCCTTAGACATAACACAAGTAAAAATTGATAACAAAAGTAATTAATTATAGTTTTATGTAGTTGTGATGTCTCGGAGAACTCAGTATATAAACTAACGAATCTGTCACTACAAGAAAACAGTAGACCTTATAAAAAAAAAGATTTTTGATTGTCTTTAACCCACATAATACTAAACTCGTGTGTGCCACATGTGCATATCATCAAAAAAGGCTATCAAGAAGAACCTAAAAAACCGTAGCACCGAAAAAAAAGGAGAAATTTGTTTTTCTTCATTAGAATTTCACATGTGACACCAATCAATAACAACATATAGATCATCCAGAAGAAGTCATAAGGTCGAACCTCTCATCATAGAACTCCAAAACTACCCAAAAATATTAAGAAGAAAATAAAAGAACATACAAATTACGTAAAAAAACCAAAGCAGTAAATATCCAATGCATAAAGAACATAAATAAACATGGACTATATAAAATACTGATACAATAAACAGTGAATGTCTTTAACAACAATTACAATTGATAATATGATAAAAACTAACATTCACTCCAAATCACCCTCCAACTATCGTATCCTTAATTTATTCCCCCAGCTCTGTCATTCACTCCTTTTTTTTATTTTTTTCAATCTGGGGATGTTTTGATCAGCTCGTGGACTCAACTTCATGGAGGTCCAGGCTGGGTCCTTCATTGGAATCACTTGTTTGATCAGCTCCCAATTCACAGGGATGCTACCAAACTCTACCTCATTAGAGGCAAATGTATTGTTGCCTGTTGTCACAACACCTCCGAACATGAGATCCAATTTCTCCCCCTACTCAAGAACGATTCTACTATATTTAAATTTTTTGTAGTGGACACCACCCACAAAATCATATAACATATTGTTTGGTTTGAAAATAAATAAAAAAATGACAAAAATAGGGGACATTTCAAAAATGCTTGATGTCAGTCTCTCAGCCTACCACTCATCGAAAGCATCAATCATTTGTTTTATCAGATCTCACCCCAAGCCCGTTAATCATTGCTTCAATTCCTTTCAGATTTTCCATTCATTTTTTACTGATCACACTTGTTTTTTATGTACACCTTATCATACTCTCTGTTTGTACTTTCCTTGAATTTTCCAATAATATTTTGTCAGTCTTCCTTGTTGAAATATGTTGTTGGCCAATTTCCCAATCTCTCTACCCACCACTTCTGAGAAGCATCAATCGTTCGCTTTACTAGATCCCACCCCAAACCCGTTGATCCTCGCTTCAACTCCTTTCAAAATTTGCAATCCTTCTTTAGCTGATCTCACCTATTTTTGACCACATTATTTCATACTCTTTGTCTGCACTCTCCTTGAATTTTTTAATAATATTTTGTCAGTCTTCCTTATTGAAATAAGTTGTCGGCCTATTTCCCAGTTTAATCTCCTTAAGATGATGGTCGCAATTAATTTTGTCTTTTTATTCCACATTCAAGATGAACCAACATCTTTTAATTTTACCATTGTATTATTAACATGAATAAAACTAATTAACATGAATTGGAATGCCACAATATAATCACCAATACCCCTCCACGTCATACTACAACACCACCTACACATCACTGTTGTTGCCACCTCCACACACAAACACCACACACCAACACATTAATATACCAACATATCCACAACACCACCACCATCTCCACAGACGAACACCTCCACACAAACACAACCGTACACCAACCACCACCTCACAACACCATAACCTTTGCACATCCACCAAAACATCCTCTAACACAAACACAACCACACACCAACCTAAACCTCCGCAACATTACTACCTCCACACATCCACAAAAACATCCGCTAACACAAACACTAACATACATCAACCACCACCTCCATACATTCACCAACACATACTCTCATACAAACACAACCACACACCAACCACCACCTCCACACACAAACCAACGTACACCATCACCAAACATCGAAGGTAAAGATGAACCCCACCTCATATTTTTCATTTGATGTAGTTACATACATGACACTCGAAACATTGCTATCAACAAATCAAGCACCCCCTTTCGACCATTTGTCAAGTTCTCACTCAAACATTAAAGGTAAAAATAAAATCCCACCACATATTTTTCATTTGAGGCTACTACATACATGGCACCCTAAATATTGCTCTCAACAAATCAAGCACCCTCTTTCAACCATTTCTCAAAATCTTACTCAAACATCAAAGGTAAAGATAAAACCCACATCGTCTTTTTCATTTGAGGATACTACATACATGACACCTGAAACATTGCCATCAACAAATCAAACACACTCTTTCAACCATTTCTAAAATTCTCAGTCAAACATAAAAAAGGTAAAGATAAAAGCCCACCCAATATTTTTTATTTGAGTATACTACATACATACATGACACCCAAAACGTTGCTATCAACAAATCAAACACCCTCTTTGAGCGATTTTTGAAATTCTCATTCAAACATAAAAAAGGTAAAGATAAAACCCCACCCTATATTTTTCATTTGAGGATACTACATATAGGACACCCAAAACATCCTGTTAACAAATCAAGCACCCTCTTTCAATCATTTCAAAAATTTTCATTCAAACATCAAAAATAAAGATAAAACCTTATTTCATATCACATTCAACTACAAATTCACAAAATCCAAATGTCAAATCATAAAGAGAAAGCCACAAATTGCAAAATCCAAATTCTCACTTCAAACTGCAAATGAAAAAATCAAAAATAGCAAAACCCAAATTCTCACTTCAAACTGCAAATGAGAAAGCCACAAATCTCAAAGAGAAAGTTATTCCATAAAAAAAAAAAAAAAACAGGTGATATTGTGGGAGGATGGTGAGCATAGTAAGCAGAGAGAGCCGGAGATCGGAGGGAAGAGAGAGAGTAGAGAAGCAACCCATTGCCACCAGAGGTAGGAAGAAAGAGGGAAAGGAGAAAGACAAACCGTTGTCGCCAGTGAGAGGCGTCAGAGAAGAGCGATCGAGAGAGGCGAGGGCAGAAAAAATACAAGAGAGAGGACAACTGTAAGAGGGGAGCGCGATATGGTAGGTCAGTAATAAGTTCACGAAAAAATGCGACTCGCGGGTCGCTCTGGGTTTAACACAAATTTTTAAGCAAAGAGGTCGCGCCGCTGTTTCCAAAAGCTTCATACGACATTTTCAACGCACTTTGAAACACTCCATGACACTCTTCCCCTCTCATTTGCACATGATAATTTGAAGTTACACATTCTCAAATCAGCAAAACTGATAGAACAAGTAAAAATTTGCCCAAAATTAGTTAAGTGCACCGAGTCGCTAACGGTCTCGACTTTATAGTTTTCATTAAAATTTAATATTTATAGTGTGTGAAAAAAGACAAAAAGGGGAAAAGTGTATGTTGCTAGTTGATTGCAATTTTTATATTTTTATGTGAAGGTATAAGTGCATGCATAAGTGCATATACATAATTATCCAAATTACACAAAACACTTGAGCAAAATAATAGGGGGTGGGGGGGGAGAGGGGGGGGGGGGGGGGGGGAAGATACAATCTAAATATGTGAATGCACAAGTGTTTAGACAATTAAAATTTTACTTTCTATTATTGACATTTTATAATGTTGTTATTTTTGTACTAGTTGTAATTGATAATAATGATATGTTAATTTTAATTTTAATTTAAAATGAATGGCTCACAAACTTAGAAGGTCAAAAATTTTATTTAAAATTTATAACTCATCATTAAAGAAAAAAACATTAATCTTAGGATTTGTTTAAAACAACTGGGAAGATTCGTCTGATTGGAGTGAAGACCGGAAAAGTAAAAAATATCATTTGTTGAAATAAACGTCTCAGAAAATTATTTCAAGAACGATAAATTTTTGTCGTTTCAAGTTACGGCCATCTACTCCGATGACAAATACAACTTTTAAAAGAAATTTTGTGAGCACCACCTTTTTTTCACACAGAGCCTTAATTCAGTTACTTCTGAGAGGGTCATTATTTTAGGGTAGGGTAGTAACTGAACCAAGCTGACTCGTGGGCCAACTTTGGCTCATGTTGACTCGATAAATGGTTCATGAGCTTAGCTTTATGAGCTAACAAGTCAAATTTAAGCCAACCCTAACTCCACTCATTACCTCGTGAGTTGGCTCGTTTAAAAAAAAAAAAATTAAATCAAATATACTCAAAATATATTTAATTTTAAGTTTTTTTTTATCTTAAAATTATTAAAAATATTAAAAATGACATTTTATACACAATATCCAGTGATTTATTAATATTTATCTTTTTATTTTAATATCAAATTAAATTAATATTACTTTCTCTCTTTTATATTGAAAAAAATATGCTCGTGAGCTAGCAAAGTTGGTAGACTCAAGCTTGAGTTTGAGCTCGAACTCAATTAATTAATCAAGCTCCAACAAAGCCTAAATTGACTCAACCCTGGACGATCATCCATACACCCTAAATAGAGGTGCAAATGCAAAGCACATCTCAAGTAAATCTTATCTATCCGTACGTGCCAATCATCCACATATAATATTTTTTCCTACTTTAGGATCTATTTAAATAAAGAATTTTATTGCCGTGTAAATAGAAAAACTAATAAAAGGAATTCATCTGCACCGTCAGATGTTTCCGCGATAAAATCACCGTTCACCACTTTGCTTCTCCACCAATTGCAAACGACCTCATCGTCCATTCTGGTTAGAGAAACGGTTAGGATTCTTCAAACGGTGACCAGACGCGTATTTCTAGTTTTCTAATTTTTAAAGAAGGTTCACCCGGGAGTGACGGCCAGGTTTCCCTCTCCCTTTGTCTCGTTTTATCTGTTTTTATTCTGCTGGGCGGCCGTCCTCGCCGGCAAATCATTGTTGAAATCTTTTTTGCGGGCCGGCGAAGCCGATATGGCGGCGGCGAACATCGGGATGATGGATGGAGCGTACTTCGTGGGTCGGAATGAGATCCTTACGTGGATCAATGCTACGCTTCAGCTCAATCTCTCGCGTGTCGAGGAGGTATTGTCCTCGGCGCATTGCTTGAACCCGTGCATTCTGCTATTTTCAATGATCGACCGATCATGGCTGTTTCTTAGTTTTGTTTGTCCGGCGGGATCGTTGGTTTTGTTCAATTTGGATTGAAATGAGGATAGAAATGATATGTCACTTGAATGATAAGTTGGGTTACGCGGGAAGCGACCAGAAAGCAATATTTCTTTTTGAGATTGTTTTGATATATTGAGGAAAAACTGGGGAATCTTTTTGTTTTTTTGTTTTTTTGTAAGAGGAGGGTAAGGAATCGTGATTTTATGGTGGGTGCGAGCTAAAGGGTTTTCATGATACGCTGTTTAAAGAATTTTGTGTGATTCTAATTATTGCTATTTGCACTTTGGTAGGAGCTTTTGCTTTGCTTGATTAGAGTCTTTGTAGAGCCTAAATTTCATTCACGTCTGGATTTGTATTGCAGGCTGCGTCTGGTGCTGTCCAGTGCCAGATGATGGATATGGTTCACCCGGGGGTTGTTCCAATGCACAAGGCACTTGCGTCTTTTTTCTTCTTGCCAAAATTTTTAACCGTGATGTTCCGTTTGTTTGCATTACTTAGATTTACTTTTCTTTCAGGTGAATTTTGATGCAAGGTCAGAGTATGACATGATTCAGAATTACAAGGTTTTACAGGAGGTGTTCAATAAGCTTAAGATAGAGAAGGTATTTCTCTTTAAGCTATACCTGGCAATGTGTCGTGCTACAAAGCTATTTCAAAAATTAGTTTTGTTATGAACGAAGTATTAGATTTTGAAAGCCAATTGTAGGCTTGTGGAAACGTGCTACAAAGTTTTTGAGTTCCTATTTCCTTAGGCATTTTCCAATTATCTAGAGATATTCTGATCCTCTAGAGATATAAGCCCCAGTTTGTTTTCTTCTTTATTTTCTTGAACAATTTATGGACCCTAATTTTTATTTACTATTAGCATTATTAAATCCTTGAGCTTATTCCAGGAGGATAATGAATTTTATCTCTATAATTAAAAGGTTATTTTAACTACGATCCTTCATCTTATTTATTTAATTGCTTTATTACAACCCTTTGGTGACTTCCTCTGTGAAAAGTGATAAGATTATTCTTCAATCTCATAATATGTAAAATAGAATTTAAAGGTTTTTTGGTTTTTTAGATCAGATCTTTGTGTATAAGATTATTTATCAGAGATTCATTATTTCCATTATACATCCTAAACGAGGAACAAAAGCACAATAAATTAATCATGAGTACACTAAGTGTCCTAAGATATAATTAATCACAATCGCTTGCCTTTATGAGAGACCTCAATCCCTATGCTAAATTAAATTTCAAGTAGCCTCATTGATTCGGCAGGGAAAATTTTTGGTTTATTTCTATTTATCTACTCTTGATTTTCATGGGTCTATGTAATATAATAATCTTTAATGATTTACCTTTTGTGGTAATTCAATGAGAGTTTATATTGAGTTTTGATGAATTTTTAGTTGCAAATTAGCAACCCTATATTTGAATTTTTGGTTAAGGCACACAATAATAATTTTTTTCTCAAAATTTCTATTTTGTCTTTGCTTTTGAATGCCGGCTGGGTTTATATCTATCTAGCTTGGCACAAGACTGGGGATTTGTATGTATCTAGATTGGCACAAGTGTGTTGACTACTAATTTCCATTGGAAGCTATCTACTTGTAACTTGTGAGTCGTCAAGATCAAAATATTGTGAATTATATCCTCATTCCTTTTTATTCTATAATTTTAGTGATTAGCTTGTTTACATTATTGTATTCAATCAAATTTTTTTTACAATAAAGTATATTTTATTTTAGTTTAAGTTTCGAACAAAATGTAAATTTTAATGATTTTAAATTTCTATGTAGAATTTTTATTGGATGATCATTGAATTATCATATGTGTGAATTCCACATGAATTTTATCGTGCTTCAAAAGGCAATGAATATTTGTTTTAATGGGCTTTTTATGATCTGTGAGTATTGAGATTGTTGGGCTTGCCTATATGAATCAATTCATTCTATAATTTAGCTGCATTAGGAAACCTTAAGCCTTAAGATTTCTTACATCATTCCCCCCTTTTTACTTAAATGTGTATATTATCCAAAAATTAAAGAAAAATTAACATCTTACTTTAAAATTTTGGCAATTAATCAGGGGAATAATGAATGATTTTATTTGATGATCTTCAATTCACTGAATGGTAATTTCTCTAATTAAACTCTTATACTTAACTATCATTAAGTTTTTTAATACCAGCAAGCTTGGAAAATATCTTTTAAAATATTTCTTATGTTCAGGATTGAATAGAAAACATCACTTTTCTAAATACTAAAGCCTATAATTACATTTTCTTTAAAACATATTGTTATTATTTCTTGTTATTCATTTTGATGAAACTTACTTGAAGAAGATATACATATACTAGTGAACGTGCTTTGTGGCTAGTATTAATTGATATTCTATAACAACTAAATTGAATATCAATGCTACAAAGGTAAATGAGTGGTTCAAGAAATACATTGATAAGAAAAGTAACCGAAAACTTAAAAGCATTATGATATAGTGCAGGGTTAGAGAAGGAGATTACTTGACATAAAAATACATCATTTTGATTGTTCAAATGTGGGAGGTTCAAGGTTAGAATGCTTTTTCTTCACTCCAATAGTCTAGAAGTGGTTTAAGTTAATTGTTTTGGAAGAAAAAAAAAAGATCAGACTAGAAGTGCGTTTCTTGGAACAATGAGCTTAAATTTTTAATTTCGGCCTATTTTTTTCAATTCCTTTACAAAGTTTTAGATTATTGCATATGGGCCATCATGAAGAAAAGAATCGTGTACTCCTTAGAGAACCATTTTTAGCTTCTATGTTGTTATTGTGAGCCTTCTCACCCTAGATGAGTCGACACAAGTTTTAGGCTTGAGATCTTACTAGATGGAAACATTTAGGGGTACATTTGGTAGAATGAAGTTTTTGTGAACAAGTAATTATGATGAGGAATCTTGCAAAATCTTCATAGTAAATCAGTGAATCTTTTGAAGGCGGATATGATAGCTATTATCCAGACAAATGTGCATAAATTTATTGAGAATTTCCTGTTGCTTGTCACTTGTCTTGGTGGTTGCACAACTTGCAAGGCTTGGTCTGGTCAATGAAGACGTTTATAAAGCCACCTTTCATCACGAAGAATAGGAAAATTATATCAGCTTATTTGGTATGTTTTTGGCATTTGTTTGTGACCTATACTAGTTTAGGGTTTCAATTTGTTGGGCTTCTAAGCTCTTGAACTTGATCATACGTGAATATTACATAATTATGTAAAGTCTAACCATATCAATTTGTTGTAAAGGTTTAATTGATTTTGATGTGAGGTTCTGACCTTTTGTTTGTATGAGTATATAAATTCCCTTAACCTCTTAATAATTCTATTAAATTCTCAAATTTTGATTTTGATATGTAAATTTTTAAGGGAATTTTTTAGTAGTATTCTTAAATTCTCAATTAATACGTTTGAAGAAGTTTCACAGATGTCTAATTCTTCTTGTGGGTTTTCTTGATAAAAATCCATTTGTTTTTTATATGATATTTGAAACTTTCAAATGGTTCGTTGATCTTTTACTTCTTTTTCCAGGTTTAAAATTTTTGCAACAAGGTTCAATTATATATGATTTACACCAATTACAACCCTAAATTAAAAATAATGGTAAATGAGAAATGAAAAACCAAGCCAAATATTTGGGATAAGACAATGATGTGGGTGCTTGAAAGTCCTTCCTTGTCAAGAAACTTTGATATTTCTCACAATTTTTCAGTTTCATGTTTGCAATTGATTCCTTATAATACAGTTTGACTTGACAAGATTAAAGAGTTTTTTATAGATATCTGAAAGTATTTGATTATAATTTGGATTACTGAAAACGCCGCCTCACCGTTTATTTCGCGCGTTGGAGATGCGTTTATCAAACCAACGTTTCCTATTTCGTGTTTAGCCCTCAATTAGTCCGCTGCCCCTCCCACAATGTCTTCCTTCTTCCTTCGTTCGCGATTCGGAAATAAAGAAAGCTCCCAGTGCCGCAAATTGTTCCTTCGTTCGTGATTCTTCTTCCCAGATTCGACATTGCTTCTGCTTCTTCCTCCTTCAGCACTCCTTCAGCACTCCTTCGTTCGCGATTAGCGGATTTGACATGCGTCTGCTGTCCGCCTCCTCTTTAGCTCGGTCTCCCTCACCTCTCTTTTCCTTGTATCTCTCCCTCGCATCTCCCTCGCCTCTCTCCCTCGCCATTTTTGCTTCTGGATTCTTTATCTTCTTCACTAAATTCATGTTATAAACTTGCATGAATTTAGGCTTTTTTTTTTGGCTTTTGGCAACCGCGATTCTTTGCTATAAGGTTCTTTTGTCTTCTTATGATGATAGATTATTCGTCTCTTTATGCTTTCTTTTAGCTTTGATATTTTTTAGGAGGATGTGCATGCATACCACAAAGTTTATATGTATTTATATCTAATATCTAAACTGGTTATTTTCACTTTCTTTATATTTTGTTTAAATCTTTTATTTGGGTTTGTGAAATTCTATTTTTAGAGGGTTATGGTAAGTCATATGACCCAAGTGATTCTTTTGGATTGCCCTTCTTATATGCTTTTCTACATACAAAAATTTGATTCAAGCGTTCCTCATTATGGGTCTACTACCTTCTTTTGATGGTAGATTGTTCATCTATTTATGTTTACTTTGAATCATGAGTTTTTATTTTTATATAACTTTGGTTGAATCTTTTTGATATATTTGTTAATTCATTTTTTTATTATGTTAAAAATTAATGTTTTCTTGATATTCACTCTTAAGTGGAGTGTATAACATTTTTTTGTACTGTCATGAATTGGTTTATTTGGTTCTCAACTGTCAAATGTGTAGCCATTACAGTTCTGTTACAAACAAAAACACTGCACAGTGCCAGAATAGTCATTTACAAAAAAAAAAAAACTACGAATAAACTATTTACAAAACACACAAAACAAACAGCTAAATTTTTTATTCAGAACAGAGTCAGAATGATCATTTATCCAGAATCAGCTGTTTTCCAAACACACAAACCAAACAACCAACCAAACAAAGCCAGCTTATCCGGATCAGCTGCTCATCAGCAGATTATCAGGATAAGCTGCTTGTCAGCATAAGCTGGATAAGCTGCAGTTGCCCCAAACAGACCCTAAGTTGACGCGGTAGCTAGAGTTTTATTTTATTTAAGTTTTGGTTTATGTGTTTTATTTTGCTATTATATCTTTATGTTTTAGGATGACATATTTGTAATTATAAGAGTATATCCTTTATAAATTAGGGCTATTTTGTGTGGGCTGAAAGAAAAAGATGGGCTTTTGGACTCATGTTTGTTTTCTCTTGGAAAGTTTCAATTCATCCAAACCTTGCCCTGCAGCTGTATCCTAGATTGACACCCAGGTGGTGTTTAGCCATTATCTTATTTTTCATGTTATTCACAGCTTTATCAATTCTTTCCACTGTTCTTGCTAAGATCAATAACTACCCGCTTTTGGCTGGTATCATTTTGATACCAGTGCAAGGTTTTTTGTGCACAATCCTTTCTTGAACTAGTTAAGATCGTCACTGGACTCCTTCTGAGAGTTGTTTGTGGATCAGGTTGAAGATTCTGTCAGCCCAACTT